GGGGGGGGGGGGGGGAGGTGTGCCAGGCAGTATGAGTGCGTGTTGAGACCACCCTCCCCGGTTTGGAGGGTCACCCAGAGACGTGCATTAAGTCCGCTTACGAATGTATCTCGCTTGGTTTTAGAGAAGCACTTGGAGGAAGGCAGTTCACGGGTAGGACTAGCAGCCGCGAAGTCTTTGCTGCTAAGTGCTTATCGGTTCAAAACTGGGGAGGAGGGGCTTCCCTGGTGACGCAGTGGTTGGGAGTCCGCCTGCCAGTGCGGGGGGTGCGGATTCGTGTCCCGGTCCCTGCGCGTCCGGAGCCTGTGCTCCGCAACGGGAGGGGCCACAGCAGTGAGAGGCCCGCGTGACAAAAAAAAAAAAAAAAAACTGGGGAGGAGTATGAGGAGCGCTTTCAGGCGCGGGAGACTTAGTTTTCTGAGATCTCTCATGGTCAAGGGTGTCCTTTTCTCTAGTAGCGATATCTGGGAGTATTCAGTAAAGAGGGTTTTTGCCCCCAATCCTCTGTCATGCCCTTCTCTCTGCTCCATTCCTCCCTAGTAAGGACACTGCCCATCCCCAGCAGGGAGACAGGAGAGGCGTGATCAGAAGTAGAGACAGCAGAAAGTAGACAAGACAGGCTTTTGTTCAAGCCTCCAGGAAAGAGCCCAGCTGAGAGGTGGCAGGTGGTGCCCTACTGTGACAAGCATAACCTGGCAGAGGTGAGGGGCCAGGGATGTGACAAAGGACATCTGGAGTACCAGGTACAGGTTTCACACATGCTTGCCTGTTTTCTGGGATAGCATTTTCTGGATTGTGACTGTGTTTCCCTGGTGGAAACTTGAGCTGGCAGCTAGCACAGACCAGGCTGTCAAGAGTGGAAACCCTCAAAGCCTGTGCAGTCTGGAGCAGCGGGCCTCCTCCCAAGGATTCCCAGTAGTCCATCACCCAAACTGAGGATGCCAGCCCAGGAATAGAGCTTCTGGCTCTCAGACAGGAAAGGGCCCTGGAAAAGGGAGCTGGGGCAGCATGCTTGAGGGAAAGGCTTGGCAAAATGGAAAATGTTATCCTAGGATAGGTCTGAAGCTCTCTGCTTTTGCAGATCTACATGGTGGTCCAGCACGTCGTGGGGTTTCAGAGCCTTCCCTTTGAGACGCTCAGCTTTCTGCTAACCCTCCTGGCCACCACTGTAACTCCAGTGTTTGTCTTATCCAAACACTGGACACACTTGCCCTGTGGCTGCATCATCAACTGCAAGCAGGACACATATGCAGTGACGTCTGATGGGAAAAAACGTAAGTCCTGAACAGTGCAGAGGTTGGGAACAATATGCATATGGTCAAATACAGAAAGGTGGTCTATTGAGAGAGTTGCCTTAGTAGGGGATGAAGAGTCCAAGGACAAATGAAGTGGTAAATGGAAGAAATTATAATGTGAAACAATTGTTAGCACAGTACTGGAGTAAGTTTTAAATGAGGCAAGTTTAAAACAGCTCTGTGAACTGCTTGTACATTGAATAATTATTTTAGGTAAGAAAAAAAGAGAATTTATTCAACACAGCATGAAGTCACAAAGGCCTTTAGGTGTTATATCTACCATAGCTCTTAGCCTAAAGTAGAAAATAACTCCCCCTCCCAAATCTACGTATGAGAAGTCTGCATCTTTGAAAAGTTAAAAACTCATTATATTAAAGTTCATTATTGCTGAGTGGAACAGTAAAGAAAAGCATTTTCTTTAGTTTGCTGCTTATATTCTTCCAGGGTTTTGGAAAGTTTTCAGAGTAAGCAATAGGAGTGACTAAAAACAGTTCCAAAACAAATTTTAAGTGTTTGCCTCTGCTTTTAGAAAACATACATATATACACAAAACAACCCCGCAAACACCTATAATTTCAAAAAAGGACAAAGGTGGCAGAGTTTGTCAATGTATGTTCATGTATGAATCTAGCCATGCCAGTTACTTAAAACAAACAAACAAACCAAAAAAAAAAAAAACAACTATGTTCTAAAGAGTACCTCTAGACCAGGAGTGCGGTCAATTATAAAACTCACTAGAGTGTAATTGTTTTTATTCTGAGACAGGAAAAGTTGAAGAATGACCTGTATATTTTGACTCTTCCAGTAAGGAAAAGGATATTTTTTTTGTCATTCCAGACAAAAGATAGGATGTTCTACCATTTAATAAATCCAAGACTACATTAGTGTATGCTGAATTAACTGTTCCATTAATTGTCCTTTGCTCAGAATAAGCAAGTGTATTATTCTTTAACAGAGAAGAAAGAATAAATAAAAACAGTCCATCTTAGACTATTTTAGGGCTATGAAAACTGGAGACTATTAAAGAATATTCTGCAATCAGTTCTTCAACAGGTTTATTTTATAAACATTAAATAGTCATGAACTGGTCATTTTCCATGTATTCATGACATTTAATATCTAGATAATTTTCAAATGACCAGAAGATTTTTTTTAGTGTTAAGGATGCCATGAAGTTTTATTGTTAATAGATGCCTAATTCATCTATGTCCTTAAAATAAAATAACCATGGAACTTGTAATAATTATGTGCTTTTGGATATTAATATCCAGAGCAACAGTGACACAGAAAATTAATAATAAATCTTTTTGAACCACATAGAAGAACATAGAACATGTAAAAATCACTTACAAGCCTGAAAGTTCTACCATTCTATCAAACATTAATATTTTGTCACTAAATTAATGAACTAACCCCATCTTATAGTATTTAAAATTGTGAGAGAGACAAGAAGAGTTTAGGGCAGTCATTTTTAAGAACTTAAGGGCACCTCTATCAGAGCTGAAAACAAAGCAATGCAACAGATCTATCACTATAAATGGTCTAGGAAGCACTTCTGTCTTATACTGCACAAAATAGAAGAAACTACAGCAGACTAGCAGAATCAATAATCCTGCTAATATCTCATGTTTGAAATTAGAACCATGCCTTTCAAGATCAAAATAATATTTTTCCTCTAAAATTATCGTTGCCCTTATTTGTATTTATTTTAAAATTTCAGGGAAGGTGTTGAAATGTGAGCTTAGAGAGGCATGGCTTCGAAAATAAAATGTGAGAAACGTTAGTTTAAAATGGCTCCATTCTCTTTTTTTCTTCTAACATCTTTATTGGAGTATAATTGCTTTACAATGGTGTGTTAGTTTCTGCTTTATAACAAAGTGAATCAGCTATACATATACATATATCCCCATATCTCCTCCCTCTTGCGTCTCCCTCCCACCCTCCCTATCCCACCCCTCTAGGTGGTCACAAAGCCCTGAGCTGATCTCCCTGTGCTGTGGCTGCTTTCCACTAGCTATTTATTTTACATTTGGTAGTGAATATATGTCCATGGCACTCTCTCACTTGATCCTAGGCTCTGCCACAGGAAAATTATAAGAATAAGAATGATGTACTTTCCTTGTCTGAGGACCCACCATAAATTTTCCTATTGCTAGGGTGACACAGAAACAGAATTTTGAAACTCCAAAGATGGCTCATCCTCAGGTGGGCAGGTGCTTGATCAGTTATAGTACTTTGATTCTATGTAGTTATAGTACTTTGATGGCTCCAGTGTCACATTTAAGCTTTTTCTCCTTAACAAATTAATATCCCCTTTTTACATTCTTTTGCTGGGAACTCCAGAAGCAAGAAAAGGAAAATATTTTTTCCTAACTCATATTTACCGTAGGTTCATTTTGGTGATGTAAACATAATTCTACATCTCAGCTTCACTGTATGGATACTGAGAGACATGCAGCCAGAAAATGAATGTCAGTAATGGAAAATAATTTCCAGAAATAATAGTTCTCTCCTGTTTTCAACAATAATCTGTATTACTAGTGTCTCAAAACAAAAGTGGTTTACAAAAGGATGGTTTTAACAGAGGTCTCAGGTGGTAGACATATGGATTGGATATGGCTTTCAGACCCATTTGGTTTGCATGACATGATGCGTTCTTTTTTAAATTAAATAAACAGTTAAAATAAAATAGTTTCTATAAAAATCAGATTTTCAGCTTCTGTTTTTTGACAAAGTCAAAGTATCTGCTGACATGTTACTCTGAAGAATTATGTATATTTATAAGCTGATATAATTACTTATGTCTAAAATTGTCATTAGTAAGATGTGATTAAAAGCAGAAGACTAGAGCTATTTCATGCCTTATCCAGGGTTTTGCTTTTCAGAGCAAATGTAACATTATACTTATTTTTCATAAGTGTACTATAGACTTCAAAAGACCCTGACTCTATTCTTCTAAGTTTCTTGTAAGTTACTAGTCAAATATTGTCAACTCTGTTTTGTTGTTTTAGCCTATTACCTTCATTGGTTAGTCAGAATTTACCTCTAGTGTTAAGGAAAAGTCAATAACAAGAAATGTTTCTATTGGTTACATTTCATAATTAATGTACTTCCCTTAACTCAAAGATAGCACATCAGGGACATTCTGCGTCCATTAACATATTTCACGGATCTGATTAGCAGTAAAGCAATTTCACACAGAGGTTAATGACTTCAGTTCTTGAGTCAGCTTTAAATTAAAATCTCTTTACCAAGTAAGTAATCTTAGGTAGGTTTCTTCTATCAGCCTCAGTTTTCTCAAATGCAAAATAGAACGAATATGCCTTTTATTATGTAGGGTTGTTGTTTTGTTAAATGTCATGACCTTTGTGCATAACTGTCCCTGGAATGCTCTAGTTCCCCACTGTATCTTTCTCAATCACACTTCCTTCTCATAGCCTACCTCAGACTGCTTCTTGCACCCAGTGATGTGGAAGTAGATTCTCCATCGACACATTCTGCACAGTTCTTTAAAAACCTTACTCACTTTTGCTTTATATATTTCATAGTTATAATACACAGCTAATAAAATATATAGCCATAGATATCCATTTATATGATAAAATTGGGATTTTATGACAGTTTTTGTTTGCTTAATATCCTTGAATTGACCACTTGTCACTTTATAACTTTTTTTAGAGAAAAAGGAAACCCAACAGTAACTAAAACATCCTTTTAGTTCCTTCAGCTTTCACACTATTAGAGTAACTTAAAAATTCTAATTTAATTTTACTGGACTATATTACTAGAAAAAGTTAAGTAGTACTGTAAATGAAGTAGTGTATAATGTTAACATCTGTTTCTACTTTTCCATTTTCTTTGAATAGAAATTTTTGTTTGTATCCTGGCTCAGTGAATGTTTTGGCTCAAATAATGAGTGATACCTATAAATTCTCTTTCAGTCAGCAGAATTGGTTTGTAAATCTTCAGTTCTGAGACAATTTCAGTAATAGAATCAGCATATGAATGACATGAGGTTGTATTGTAAAATGAATCAAATTTTACCTGTTGTTCTCATAGAAATTTTATAGTTTTTAATAAATTTTTCCACCAAGGATAGCTAAATGTGTGCTATAAAACACAGAACTATCCAAGTAGAAAAATGTTTTGAAATGAGCCATGTTTGAAAGATGAAAATCAAAACATTACATTGCATTTTGTCTACCATCTTGATATAGCTTCATTCTTAATACACAAAAATTATCTAGTATTTAATGACGTTCACATACAACAATTGTATCACTTCTGTCACATTCTCATGTTGTTATTCTACTAAGACTTTATACAGTATTCACCAAATAGTAGTGCTATATGTAAGATACCATCATATTTCACCTGATTTAAACCATGGAAAGTTTTATGTGTTCCTGCTAAACTGCTCTTGTAGTTAATCAGGTATATACATGTTGTAAAGTGCTTCAGTTCACAGAAATATGTCTATATACTCTTCTTTAAAATTCATTTCAAATTTATTCAGAAGTGTACATATTATTTTTAAAAGTTTAAAAACTGTATTGTAGCATTATCTAATTTTTACTGTATGCATTTATAAACATATAAATGTCAGGAATGATATACATCAAAATATTTAAAGCACTTATATCTGTTGTTGGTATTGCCAGTAGAATAGCTCAAGTAATATTAAGAACTTTTTAATAATTAAATTGTAGCAAAATAAAATTTATAAACAATGTATTTTATCCCAAAATAAAGAAATGTAGAGATAATTGGTAGACTGATAGAGCTAAAACTAAAACTGAGTGGATATGAGACTATTCTAATTCATGGATAAATTTTTTACATAAAATTTCTTTAAAGACTTCAGTGTCCTGGGGTTGTATGTATTTCAAGCCTTCCATTGTGTAAGTGAGAACAGTTAGGCCCAGAGTGATAAGGTGGTTGAATTTGTGAGGCACAGTTGCTTTGCATAATTTGACAAGAAGTAAACGAAGATAATTCAACTAATCAGGTTGAATTCACTTTCCTATTTTTATTCATTTTGTATATCCAAGCACTGTTTATATCTATCTTCCTAATCATGGAATTTTGTTTTTGTTTTTACATAGCCAAGAGGAGATGCTTTGAATTCAATCTATCATTTCAACGAAGTTATGGAATTTATAAAATAGCACATGAAGATTACTATGATGATGATGAAAATTCAATATCCTATCACAATCTCATGAACTATGAGTGCAAAACTACAAAAGACTCTCAGAGAGACTCTCATAATGTATTCAATGCCATAAAGGTGGAAATCAGCACCACACGCTCTCTGGACAGCTCCACACTAAAAGGCATCAACAAATGTACAAACACTGATATTATAGATGCTAAACAGGATTCCCACAATGAAAAGACTGTTGATCCACTGCTCCCTGAAAAAACAGAAGGTGATATTAAATATGATGAAACCACCCTTTTGGAAGGGCCAGAAAGAAGACTTTCTCATGAGGAGAGTCAGAAACCAGACCTTTCAGACTGGGAATGGTGTAGGAGTAAATCAGAAAGAACCCCTCGTCAGGTACAGTAAAGGTTGTTATTCTTCTTAAATTAAAAGTAAGACCAAATATGACAGCATGCAAAAAAATTATCCGTTGCTTATTTTATTCATCCAACTCCAAGGTTATCTTCTCTTAACTCAATTAATTTCCATAAAACTAAATTTTATTTCAAAGTGTCTTTTTAAAATTTTTTAATTAGTTCTACACTTTTAGTCAAATTCTATCTATTTTGGAATTGGCAGAGCTAAACAGGATCATTGGAACAAGCCTCTATTTTAACCTGAAGTAATCTGTGTAAATTCAGACTAGACCTCAAAACTTATTTCAAATTAGTAAACTTGTAGGTTTTATATTTTTTCTTCACCTGAAAAGTTTACACAAGTGTCCAAAACAGGTTTTGGGGCAAATGTTTATACAATTACCGGTAAACAGTTAGTCCTTTTGCAACTCTACTATTCACATAGCTTGGCTATTAGTCTTTTTTTTTGTTTTGAATTTTATTGCTTTATTTTTTTATACAGCAGGTTCTATTTTTTAAACATCTTTATTAGAATATAATTGCTTTACAATGGAGTGTTAGTTTGTGCTGTATAACAAAGTGAATCAGCTATATGTATACATATAGCCCCATATCCCCTCCCTCTTGCATCTCCCTCCCATCCTCCCAATCCCACCCTGCTAGGTGGACACAAAGCACCGAGCTGATCTCCCTGTGCTATGCAGCTGCTTCCCACTAGCTATCTGTTTTACATTTGTTAGTGAATATATGTCCATGTCACTCTCCCACTTCATCCCAGGTTATCCTTCCCCCTCCCCATGTCCTGCAGTCCATTCTTTATGTCTGTATTTTGATTCCTGTCCTGCCCCTAGGTTCTTCAGAACCTTTTTTTTTTAGATTCCATATAGATGTGTTAGCATACAGAATTTGTTTTTCTCTATCTGACTTACTTCACTCTGTATGACAGTCTCTAGATCCATCCACCTCACTACAAATAACTGAGTTTCATTTCTTTTTATGGCTGAGTAATATTCCATGTATATATGTGCCACATCTTCTTTATCCATTCATCTGTCAATGGACATTTATGTTGCTTCCATGTCCTGGCTATTGTAAACAGAGCTGCAATGAATATTGTGGTACATGACCCTTTTGAATTATGGTTTTCTCAGGGTATATGCCAGGAGTGGGATTGCTGGGTGTTATGATAGTTCTATTTTTAGATTATAAGGAAACTCCATACTGTTCTCCATAGTGGCTGTATCAATTTACATTCCCACCAACAGTGCAAGAGGGTTCCCTTTTCTCCACACCCTCTCCAGCATTTATTGTTTGTAGATTTTTGGATGATGGCCATTCTGACTGCTGTGAGGTGATACCTCATTGTAGTTTTGATTTGCATTTCTCTAATGATTAGTGATGTTGAGCATTCTTTCATGTGTCTGTTGGTGATAATGTATATCTTCTTTGGAGAAATGTCTATTTAGGTCTTCTGCCCATTTTTGGATTGGGTCGTTTGGTTTTTTGATATTGAGCTGCATGAGCTGCTTGTATATTTTGGAGATTAATCCTTTGTCAGTTGCTTCATTTCCAAATATTACTCCCATTCTGAGGGTAGTCTTTTCGCCTTGTTTATGGTTTCCTTTGCTGTGCAAAAGCTTTTAAGTTTCATTAGGTCCCTTTGTTTATTTTTGTTTTTCTTTCCACTTCTCTAGGAGGTGGATCAAAAAGGATCTTGCTGAGATTGATATCATGGAGTGTTCTGCCTATGTTTTCCTCTAAGAGTTTTATAGTGTCTGGCCTTCCATTTAGTCTTTAATCGATTTTGAGTTTATTTTTGTGTATGGTGTTAAGGAGTGTTCTAATTTCATTCTTTTACATGTAGCTGTCCAGTTTTCCCAGCACCATTTCTTGAGGAAGCTGTCCATTCTCCATTGTATATTCTTGCCTCCTTTATCAAAGATAAGGTGACCTTATGTGCGTGGGTTTATCTCTGGGCTTTCTGTCCTGTTCCATTAATCTATATTTCTGGTTTTGTGTCAGTACCACACTGTCTTGATTACTGTAGCTTTGTAGTGTAGTCTGAAGTAAGGGAGCCTGATTCCTCCAGCTCCGTTTCTCTTTCTCAGGATCACTTTGGCTATTGGGGGTCCTTTGTGTTTCTATGCAAATTGTGAAATTTTTGTTCTAGTTCTGTGAAAAATGCCATTGGTAGTTTGATAGGGATTGCATTGAATCTGTAGATTGCTTTGGGTAGTAGAGTCATTTTCACAATGTTGATTCTTCCAATCCAAGAACATGGTATATCTCTCCATCTGTTTGTATCATCTTTAATTTCTTCCACCAGTGTCTTATAGTTTTCTGCATACAGGTCTTTTGTCTCCTTAGGTAGGTTTATTCCTAGGTATTTTATTCTCTTTGTTGCAGTGGTAAATGGGAGTGTTTCCTTAATTTCTCTTTCAGATTTTTCATCATTAGTGTATAGGAATGCCAGAGATTTCTGTGCATTAATTTTGTATCCTGCTACTTTACCAAATTCACTGATTAGCTCTAGTAGTTTTCTGGTAGCATCTTTAGGATTCTCTATGTATAGTATCATGTCATCTGCAAACAGTGACAATTTTACTTCTTGTTTTCTGATTTGGACTCCTTTTATTTCATTTTCTTCTCTTATTGCTGTGGCTAAAACTTCCAAAACTATGTTGAATAATAGTGGTGAGAGTGGGCAACCTTGTCTTGTTCCTGATCTTAGTGGAAATGGTTTCAGTTTTTCACCATTGGGAACAGTGTTGGCTGTGGGTTTGTCATTTATGGCCTTTATTATATTGAGGTAGGTTCACTCTATGCCTACTTTCTGGAGGGTTTTTATCATAAACTGGTGTTGAATTTTCTCAAAAGATTTTTCTGCATCTATTGAGATGATCATATGGATTTTCTCCTTCAATTTGTTAATATGGTTTATCATATTGATTCATTTGCGTATATTGAAGAATCCTTGCACTCCTCGGATAAACCCCACTTGCTCATGGTATATGATCCTTTTAATGTGCTGTTGGATTCTGTTTGCTAGTATTTTATTGAGGATTTTTGCATGTTCATCAGTGATATTGGCCTGTAGTTTTCTTTTTTGTGGCATCTTTGTCTGGTTTTGGTATCAGGAGGATGGTGGCCTTATAGAATGAGTTTGGGAGTGTTCCTCCCTCTGCTATATTTTGGAAGAGTTTGAGAAGGATAGGTGTTAGCTCTTCTCTAAATGTTTGATAGAATTCACCTGTGAAGCCATCTTTCCTGGCCTTTTCTTTGTTGGAAGATTTTTGGGGTTTTTTTGCGGTACTCGGGCCTCTCACCGTTATGGCCTCTCCCGTTGCGGAGCACAGGCTCCAGATGCGCAGGCTCAGCGACCATGGCTCACGGGCCCAGCCACTCTGCAGCATGTGGGATATTCCTGGACCGGGGCACTAACCCGTGTCCCCTGCATCGGCAGGTGGACTCTCAACCACTGCGACACCAAGGAAGCCCTGTTGGAAGATTTTTAATTACAGTTTCAATTTCAGTGCTTGTGATTGGTCTGTTTTTATTTTCTATTTCTTCCTGGTTCAGTCTCAGATGGCTGTGCTTTTCTAATAATTTGTCCATTTCTTCCAGGTTGTCCATTTTATTGGCATATAGTTGCTTGTAGTAATCACTCATGATCCTTTGTATTTCCGCAGTCTCAGTAGTTACTTCTCCTTTTTCATTTCTAGCTCTATTTATTTGGGTCTTCTCCCTTTTTTTCTTGATGAGTCTGGCTAATGGTTTATCAATTTTGTTTATCTTCTCAAAGAACCAGCTTTTAGTTTTATTGATCTTTGCTCTCCTTTCCTTCATTCTTTTTCATTTATTTCTGATCTGATCTTTATGATTTCTTTCCTTCTGCTAACTTTGGGGGGTTTTTGTCCTTCTCTCTCTAATTGCATTAGGTGTAAAGTTAGGTTTTTTATTTGAGATATTTCTTGTTTCTTGAGGTAGGATTATATTGCTATAAACTTCCCTCTTAGAACTGCTTTTGCTGCATCCCATAGGTTTTGGGTCATCGTGATTTCATTGGCATTTGTTTCTAAGTATTTTTTGATTTCTTCTTTGATTTCTTCAGTGATCTCTTGGTTATTTAGTAGTGTATTGTTAGGCTTCCATGTGTTTGTTTTTTTTACAGATTTTTTCCTGTAATTGATATGTAGTCTCATAGCATTGTGGTCGGAAAAGCTATTTGATACAATTTCAATTTTTTAAAATTTACCAAGGCTTGATTTGTGACCCAAGATATGATCTATCCTGGAATATGTTCCATGAGCACTTGAGAAGAAAGTGTAATCTGCTGTTTTTGGATGGAATGTCTTATAAATATCAATTAAGTCCATCTTGTTTAACGTGTCATTTAAAGCTTGTGTTTCTTTTTTTATTTTCATTTTAGATGATCTGTCCATTGGTGAAAATGGGGTGATAATGTCCCCTATTATGATGGTATTACTGTCGATTTCCCCTTTTATGGCTGTTAGCATTTGCCTTATGTATTGTGGTGCTCCTATGTTGGGTGCATAAATATTTACAATTGTTATATCTTCTTCTTGGATCGATCCCTTGATCATTATGTAGTGTCCTTCTTTGTCTCTTGTAATATTCTTTATTTTAAAGTCTGTTTTGTCTGATATGAGAATTGCTACTCCAGCTTTCTTTTCACTTCCATTTGCATGGAATATCTTTTTCCATCCCCTCCCTTTCAATCTGTATGTGTTCCTAGGTCTGAAGTGGGTCTCTTGTAGACAGCATATGTACGGGTCTTGTTTTTGTATCCATTCAGCCAGTCTGTGTCTTTGGGTTGGAGCATTTAATCCATTTACATTCAAGGTAATTATCAATCTGTATGTTCCTATTGCCATTTTCTTAATTGTTTTCGGTTTGTTATTGTAAGTCTTTTCCTTCTCTTGTGTTTCCTGCCTAGAGAAGTTCCTTTAGCATTTGTTGTAGAGCTGGTTTGATGGTGCT